AGAGTAAAAACTGCATGCCCAATGTTATGCAAAGCGATTCTAGCATGAAATAAATTTTGTATCATGGTTTCTGTATAGTCTAAAGCAGATTTGTTTTGCTGAAGCAATCGAAGGTTTGCAGAGACACACTTCTGCATCTTGAATAAATATAGTATTTTCCCAAAAGAAACAGAGGACAGTAGCTTGGCTTTGGTCTGATTCTAAAATTAGTGATGGGGGTGGGGAAGGATGATATTTTTGAAAAACACATACTTGAAGAAAAAAATGCAACATCTCGAGCTTTCACTGCAGCTCACAACATTTCCTGGAAAGAGACAATGCTGCTTTAGCTCAACACCCTCCCCTCCCCGGGCCCCGGCCCTCGATAATAAAAAGCTGACTTTTGAGATGAAGCACGGATCTGGGTTTTTATTGCCTCAGGCAGTGTCGCCATTTGGTTCTGGGCCTCTGGTCAGGCCCTAAGGAAGCAGTTGCTCTCTAGACATCCCCTGCAGATCCTTTTGGCTGGGAGGAGGGAGCAGCTCTCAGGAAGGACTGGGCGTGCAACGACCTCACCTAAGACACCAGGGGCCCATGGAAACTTCTCCATGAGTCATGCCATAACCATGACTCCTTGCATCTGGCCATGTCAGAGTTCCCAGCCCCCATGCAGACCAAGGTCACCTGCCTCCTAGTTGCCCTTCTTGAGTTTGATGGAGCCAGAGGCAGGGTTATAGCTGACAGGTCTGGGTGCCTTACCCAGCTGCACCCTTGCTGGGCTCAGTCTGGCCGAGCACCTCATTGCATGCCCCTCACTCAGTCCAAAGGTGTCTTGGAAGGGGTGGAGCCCTCTTCTAGGGATCTCAGTGAGCTTGGGTTGTTCACTTGGTTTTGGTTGGAGCAAGAGTGGGGGATTGGGGCTCCAATTTTTTTCTATCCATTACGGAATCCAGGAATGTTGAGGTGGAAAAGCCCCTAATAGTCATGGCAGTCAACCTCTGAACATTTTATAGATGAGTAACGGAGGCCCCAGAGGGGAGTGATCTGCCCAAGGCCACAAACAAGGGATGTCAGCCTCCCCTTAATTTCGATTCCCTTGATGCCTCCCAGCTTGGCTTGAGTCAATGATCAGATGGGGTGGGGAGGAGTGAAAGGTGGGGGGCCCAATTCCCATCTAACTTTCTCATCCCCTCTAAGCATTTGCCTCAACTTCCCAGTGCCCCGTGCAGCCCGGGAATCAAAGGGTGGGCATCGGTGGGGCAGTGAGCACAGTAAGGCCTCCCCCCAGTGGGCTGTCAGGTCCACACTGTGTATGGAACAGCCATTCATAAGTGTCAGGATGTAGAAACCAAGCAGCCTCAGCTGCTGCAGGGCGAGCAATGTGCCCTCTACCTGGGCTCCACCCTGGAGGACTTACCATAAAGCCATTTGGTATACGGGTTTGCAGGGACACAATAGCTAATGGGGACAGATTAACATGCACTGAGCATCTGCTATGTGTGGGGCATCTGAGAAAAGTTGTCTAATGATAGTGCACAATAATTCAACACGCCCACTATAGAGGCAAGAGAACGAGGTACAAAAGTAACTGGCCCAAAGCCACACAGCCAATGAATGATTTCAACCCAGGTGGTCTGACTCCAGAGCTCAGGTTAAGCTGTACCAAGGCCTTCCTGGGGCTGGAGGTGGAATTGACAGAAGGGCCACTTCACACGCTGCTCTGCTGTCCACACGCACATCTGACCACCTCACTCTCCTGCCTAAACACCCTGTTGCCCTAAGAATGAAGTTGAATCTCCTTAAATTGGCTATCAAGGCCTCCCCTCTCCCAACTCTCACCTCCCTCGGTGCTCCAGTCACATATGCAGTTACACATATGCACCCTAGGACCTGGAGCACCCTCCCTTTAACACCTCCTGCACGTCCCAATCAACTTGCTAACTCCCAATTTATCACTAAGTCACTTCCCTCAGAAGTGGGGGAATTTGGGGACCTGGTGGAGGGCTTTACTCTGAGCCCTAGGCCTGGATTCACCATTCCCAAGTCCAGTCGCATATAGTTTTGGTCAGATGGCCCACTGGGACCAAAGGTGGTGAGGGTGTCAAGGGAAGATGGGGTGCCTGCAATTGGCGAGGGTTGGGGGGATTGTGCAAGATAGTTTAGGATGTAAACAGCCTACTAACACCTGGTACATGGTGGACTGTCAACAGGCCTAAAACCTGTGAGCACACAACAGGGTCCTACCCGCCTCTTCACTTTCCTCCCCTCCTTCTCATATGGAGGCAAGTGCCAAGAGGCGTATGAGTGCCAATTTACTTAGTCTAGCAGAAAAAAGGTAATTTTAAAAAATGAATGGGTGGTTTCTCAAGTTGGCTCCCGTGGTTCATTAGCTAACCAGGTGGATGACAGCGGCATTACGTGACCGTGGGGTGGTTGTGCTATCCACAGCATGGTTATCAAACATTTGTAAGAGCTACAAGCAGAGGATGGGTGGAGACGAGGGATCATAGCACCGCTCATTTAACCTCCCCATCCCATGGTGACTGTAAGGACATAGTGACCAGTTCACTCATTAACATTTATTGGGCACTTCCTCTGTACCGGGACCTATCCTTAGTGAGGGGTTTCCAGAACTGACCAAGACCTGGCCCCTTACTCTTGAAGAGCTCAGGGTCTATTAGGAATGATGGGCTAAGACATCTACAAGTCTGAAAAAGATAAATAGGGATTAAAGGGTCCAGAAAAGAATCTGGGAGACACTGTCAACACCCCCTCACCCCCCTGGAGCTTTCAGGCACTCATGAGATCCAGCTGGTGAACTAACTTGGAGAAAGCGCAAAATGGAGGAGCCCAAGGTGACGGGACAGTCTGTGGTGTCTTCTAGTGCCGAGAGCCACTCACTCTTCACGTGTGAGTTATCTGTGCTCTGCATGCTTCCAAGAAGGGTCGACTCAGGTTCTGAGTGAGGGGCTCAGGCTTATGCCCACAAGGCCTCAGAAGAGGCACTGGGGTTCAGAAGCAGAGGACTTGGGATTCGGGTTTCTTCCAGCAGGCGCCGAAAGAGGTAATTTAGGAGGGAACTCTGCACTGCCACGCTGGGAGAGGGGGTGTTGGTTCCTGGTGAATGGAAACCCCGTCTAGGAGGTATGGGCCTGAGCTCTGTCCCATTGGGACTGCTCTCTGGCCTATGTGTCTGATGCAGAGCACTCAGCCGGTAGGTGGTGGCCAGTAATGGTGGGCTTGCTCCAGTATGGGACATCTCTGAGGGCTTGGTCACCTTGGCAAGGCCAGCACAGAGTGCAGAGATATGCTTCCTCGCACTGCAGCAGTGCTTGGGGTGCACTGGCCTCACTGGTTCTGGGAGGCAGGGGAACCAAGGGCTTTGCTGGCAGGGCAGCAATGTTTCTAGGGTACAATATTAGGAGCAGGAAGGACTCCGTGCATCGGTGGTCAAGGTCAGCTGATGGCTATGGGTAGTCTCTAGGTTCAAGCTTAGGGAGCTTAAGATTGTCCTCCTTCCCACTGTCTTGAGCTGAACCCACTCCTGGTCCTAAGGCTACCCCTTGTCTGGCTCAAGGCCCTGGATGGGTCACCTCCCCGTTAGGACCCAGGGTGAGGAGTGAGGTGTATGGTCTTGAGATGGTACCGTCCCCTTTTTAGGCCTCTGTTTTCCCCCATGAGCAATGGAAATATTGGATAAGATCAGTGGTTTTAAACCTTTCTCAAGGACTCCTTGTCAAGTGAAATCTTATATGAAGTCAAATACATAATATGGATTAAAATGAAGCTGCTGTGAATCGGATGGAGGGTGGGGACCCAGACCTCTGTCTACTTGGTCTTCCTTTACCCACAGCCCACCAGGTGGCCACTGAGTTCTCAGGAGATGTTTAGGGCTCTAACACAAGCACTCGGAGGCCACTAGGCTAGAAGGTCATTATGAGTCTTCCAGCTTTAAAGTGCTGGGACTCTGTTATTTCCTAAAGCCATTGGAGCCTAGCCGTCACAGACCCAAAGCTGCTCCCGAGTCACAAAGGCAAGGCAGTGTGGGATGGGCCATAGACCTGGTTGGCTAGCTGGTGACAACTGCCACATAGTCCCCCAGGGAAAGCTGCTTTTTGAACCTTCTAACCAAAGCCTGCTGTCAGCACAGTGGAAGGGTGCAATGTCCCCGCAAGCCATAGCTGCTACCCAGGGAAGCCAGGGGCTCAGGGTCTGGCCTGGTCCCCATTTTGCCTGAAGGCCCTCCTACTGCAGAGGTTAGGGCCTGGCGGCAGAAGTCTTGACATTGCTGTCCCTGCAGATTCCCCTTTCCGTGCGGGGGCCTCTCCCTCACCTGAAACTACACAGTTTAGCAATTATCATCACACAGACTAGCTCGAGTCCTGCCTCGCTCAGGTGAAGACATCAATCTTCTAGGAGTTTCAGAACGGGGAGTTCAGATTCTGGATTCCGTGGTCCCAGGGGCCACCTCTGCTGGCTCTTTCTAGGAGCCTTGTCTCTTCTTCCACTTACTCATCCCCACCTCCTTCCAACCCCTCCCCCACCCCCCATCCAGAGCCTTCTCCCTCGGTCCTAGTCACCAAGACAAGAACTCCTACTTGTCCAGGTATCCAGCTACCTTGACACCTGGATATCCTTGAACCAGCAAGCCACATGCTCTGGGCCCCGAGAATAAAGACCCCAAGAGAGGCATGTGGCCGCTCTAAGCATGGTCTAAGAACCCTTCGTCTTGCTGAATCAAAGGCTGCTGGACCACAACCGCCATTGGGGTTAGAGCTGGGTTTTCCGTCCCCACCAGGCAGGGACAGCCTGGGCCTTCCTGCTGCTTTCCGCGTCCCTTGGTGAGGACCTAACCCTCATTCTCATTTGCTAGACAGAAGGAATGTCTGTCTCCCTGAGCTCCTGACACCGGGCAGGCAGCCTCCCATCATTCCAGTCTGTGGTCAGCCCAACCGTAGGGCCTCCTGAGCCCTTCTCAGGCCAACCCCACAACCTGACAAAGCAATTCTCTGGGAACACTCTGAATGGGAAAAAACCACTTTATTAAATGGTGTCTGTCACAAGCCCCCCATTTCTGCACCTGTCAGATTGGCTTTGGGTAGAGGTTTCTGGTTGTCTTTCTTTCCAGTTTCTTTGTCCATGGCATCCTGAGATTTGGGGTCCTCAGTGGCATCTGGGGAAGGGCCAGTGACCTTGGGACACTGGCGCAGTGTAGGAAGGGCTGGCAGGTGGCAGAAGGCCAGGGAGTGGCCAGCCCCACAGCCCACGAGGAATCCTGATGACGACTGCAGAGCCTGCACGGGCGTCGGGGCCCAGACGTTGGTTTCAGTGCCATCCCCGCACATGCCATGTTCGTTCCAGCCCCAGGAGTAACACGTCCCACCTGCGAAGAAGAGGGAAGACTGCTGTAGAAGCGCTTTGGGTTTTGGATAAGGGGACTGAAACGCCCACCCTGGACATGCAGGTATCATCATAAACCCCAGCCTGCACATGAAGAAACCAAAGTTGAGCAACACTTGGTGGCATGCTCACTGTCCCTGCTTCCACCTCTGTCCTCCTGAGTCTGCTCTTGTTTCAGCGTTTGCCACTCCCTCTAACCCACACCTGCTCCTGCCCCAAACTTGGCTTTCCCCCTTGGCCCTTCCCTCAGTGTCACCCCCCAACACATGATCTAAGACCTGCCAACTCTGTCTCCAAAAATATCTCAAATCAACTGTGCAGCCACCACAAGTATCTAATTCCAGAACATTTTTGTCATCCCCAAAAGAAACTCCATATCCACTCCCCATTCTCTCCACCTCAGACCCTGGCAACCACTAATCATTCTGATTTGCCTATTAAGAAAAAAAAAATCTCAAATCCTTCCACCTCTCTCCATCTCCTCTGCCATCACCTGGTCCCGACTCCATTTACCCTTGTCTGGGCCATGCCAACAGCCAGCTAACTAATGGGGCTGCTCACCATCCACTCCGACCTAAAAAGAGCATTAAAGAGATCTCTGGGACTGCAACTCTAATCACGTCACTATCCTGCTTAAACATTATAATGACGCCCCACCACCTTTAAAGGCTTTTCCTTGGCCCGTGACTACCATCTTGGCCTCCCCTTGCACAGCTCTACCCCCACCCCACTGCATTCCAGAGCCCGGCCTCTTTTCAGTTCCTTTACTGTGCCCTGTGGGGCCTTCCTTTCTCTAGAAGTCCTTGCTTTACTGGGCTCCAGAACTCCTCATCCTTTAGATCCAGTTGAAACGTGGCTCAGAGGCCAGGTTCCCCAGCCACCCAATCCAACTTAGATTCTTGTTCTTGCCCTTGCACCTGCCCCTTGTAGGCGATAAAAATGCGACTTGTGTGGTGATGCGTTTACTATCCCCTCATTAGACCGTCCGCTCTACAGTGAGCAAAGGAACGCACATGTTCTGCTCACTGCCGTATCTCCAGCACAATGCCTGGTACCCAGGTGGTGCTCAGTAAGGGTTTGTTGACTGGATAAGAGATTGAATGAACTCAGAGCCATACACGGCAAGAAAACATCAGAGCCAGCGTTCAAGCAAGCACAGGTGTCTCTGACAGCCTGTGATGCTCCCCCGTCCTACCATGGAACCCCACCCTAGGTTTTGGATCCTTTCCTATGTATGATCTAAACTCACTCACACTTTTCTGTAGTTGTTTCTGGATATAAAAGTAGTACATCTCCATGGAAAAAAAAAAGGGGGGGGGGAATGGAAAATATGAATGAGTGTAAAAAAAACCCTCCAGAATCTTGCCCACTACTATGAATATTTTAGGTATCTCTTTCAAATATTAACTTGTGAAATTTGTAAATATGTGTGTGTATTTTGTCCTGCTTTTATCCCTCAACATTATATAACACAAATGTTTATCCATGGAATTGCAAATTGTTCTAAAGTAAATTAAAAATAATTTGTTTGAAATTTTGAAATAGCTCAATATGTAGAAAGATACAAAAAATAATTTAACAGAAAGACACAATATCCCCATCCAGATTTATGACATAAGTTAACATTTTGCTATATTTGTGTCAACACTTCCCTTTAAAGAAATAAATCAATCAAGTTGGCATGCATTATTTGTATGCTTAATTTAATTTTTCTACATATATATCCTTAAGTACAATGTAATATTTTTAGTTTGTTTTAAAGATTTACATAAATAATATTCAAATATGTATCGTTTTTATGACTTGCTCTTTACACAGCATTGGTTTTGAAATGTATCTGAGCTGATAGCTACAGATCTAGTTCATTTTAACTGTATATAGTATCCCATTATGTATAAGTCATAGTTTACTTATCCATTTCCCTTCCCTTATCCATTTCCAGTTCTTTAATGATAAATGTTGCTATTTTATTAGACCATATACTATATAATATTATAGTACAACAATAATACTAATATCATTGCTATTTTAAACAGCACTGCAATGAACATCCTTAAACACGTCTCCTTGTACAAATTGGTGTTTGTGCAGGGTTAATCCCAAGAAGTGTAAGTGGAGTGGAATTCCATTTAACTTTACTAGGTAGGGCCAAGCAGCTCTCCACAATGGCTGCAGTCATGTACAGTCCCATCAGCAATGGATATGAATTTGTTTCCCTCTCTCTTTGCTTTTACACTCTTGCTAGTCTGATAAGTACATTTAATGTATGAGCATTTTCCTGACTCCTAGTGAATAGTTTACGAGCTTTATGTTCATGAGCTCTAAGCTGCCTCTTCTATGAATTTCTTATATACATTCTTTGCCTGCTTTGCTCTTCGGTTGTTTGCCTTTTTCTTATTGATTTGTAAGTTTTCTTTGTGTGTCTTTCGTGTATGTAATTCATTGTTGTGAAATGCACTGCAAGTGTCTTCTCCCAGAAGTCTGTGGTGTCTCTTCACTTGGTTTATGGTGTCTTTTGTTGTACAGATTTATTTTAAATGACTGCCTAATTGTCCATTATGGAGATTAAACAATTCCCTTAACCTGTTTTCTACTGTCAGATCAGTAGGTTGTTTCTAATTTTTCATTATTTTGTAAAACATTCCTGTGAATGCCTTTATATATGAATCTTTGTTTATCTCTCTAATTATTTTCTCAAATTAGATTCTTAAAATGGGAATTCCTAGTCAAAGGGTATGGACATTTTTTATATTCCTAAGTACTATTTTGAATACTGCCAGAATACTTTTCAGAAAGGCCATCTGATATACCTAAGCAATCTGTGGGAATCTCACTCCAGCATTGCCTGTTTTTATTTGTTATTACAACATTTAAGAATCTTTCCTAATTTGAAGACAAAAATGGTATCTCATTCTTTTAATTTGTACTTTTGTGATTACCACTGAAATTGAAAACTAATTCTTATCTTTCTCAGGTATTTGTATTTCTTCTTTTGTGTATTGTCTACCTCATGTCTTTTTCCTATTTAGTATAGACGAGTTTAAGTGCTCAGACCCAAGAGCCAGATGGCCTGAGTTCAAATCCCAGCTCCTCCATTTATTAGCTGAGCTACTTTTGGCAGGTTACTTAGCCTCTTTGTACCTCAGTTCCTTCATCTTTTAAATGGGGATAATAATAGTACCTTTATCATAAACTTGTTCACAAGCATAAAATGAGTAAGTATATATAAAATACTTAGAATGGTGCCTGGCATGTAGTACTATATAAATATTTGTTATTGTTGTTATTGATTAAGAGCCTTGTTGTTTTAAATATTTTTATTGTAAGAATATTAATTCATTCTCTGTCATATCTGGCACAAATCTATTTTCTCAGTTTGACTTTAAAATTTTGTTTTGGGTCTTTTGATGCAAACCATGAGTTTTATAGTTCTATGTAGTAAAATTTATTGATCTTTTATCATTTCTTCCATTGCTTATAAGAATTGAAAACCTACCCCTATCCGGATCAGAAAATGTCCTTTCTGATTTTTCAATGATTTGAATTTTTTAATCTTCACATTTCACTCAAGAACTTACATTTCACTGACAATCTGTTGTACAGACCACTCTTTCAGCAGAGGGAGGCTGGCTGGCCCAGGAGTCCCCTTCCGCTTCCTTTTCCCTAGCGAGAAGGCACTCAAAGGCCAAAAGCTCGGGTGTGGGGATCACAGATGTCTGCCTGTTTGGCCCCTGAGTGAGGAAACGCACACAGAGAGGATGCGCCCCAGGCCGCAGCTCCCACAGTGAAGCCGGAGTGTCAGCCAGGTTGATCTGACATACGAGGTAGGAGAATAGAAGGGGCTTGGTACCTTCAGACCCAGCTCGGCACCTGGTGTGGGCTTTGTGCCCAGCCCTGGTGAGTAGCACCAGCTGACAGTCAGCAGGAATGGAGGTGGGAGGAAGGCAGAGCTGACCTACCAGCAGGATGCAGTACCATGGGCAGCTGGCAGGTCCCTCTCCTCCTGCCAAAGGAAACACGCTCTGAGGAAGCCACGCTCCGGGCCGGGGTAGCCAAGATCTTGAGCCAAGGCTTTCATGCCCACTGGGTCGAGAGGCCTGGCACAGGCCCAGAAATATCTTCCCCCAATACTTCCAAAGAAGCTCACTCAATGTTGGGTGCTTTATAGTCTTTATCTCATTTAAGTCTAACAACTCTGTGAGACAGCCATGTTTTCTATTGGGTTGTCGTAAAAGTCATGATGCATTTTGTCTGTTTTTCAAAGGTCATTTATTTATATAAAGAACAAAGATCAATCAATGATATATTGCCCGTTTTGTTCGATAACCTTTTGCCATCTTTCAGTGAGCTTCATAATTCCTCGATCATAGAAGGACCTGTCTTTATTTGCAAAAAACTGAACAAGGTGCTGATTTACAGCCTCATCTGAATTGAACGTTATACCACGCAAGGAGTTTTGAAGGGAGCGAAACAAGTGGAAGTCTGACGGTGCAAGGTCAGGCGAGTATGGTGGGTGTGGCAACACATCCCATCCAAGCTCCAATAATTTTTTTTTTTTTTTTAGCTGAGCCATCCTGCCACCTGTTGGCAGCTCAGTGGCAGCTCAGCTCGGGCCGTGAATCAAACCAGTGACCCTGTTGCTCAGAGCTCACACTCTTGAGTGAGCTATTAACCAACTGAGCCACTCGGCCGGCCCTCAAGCTCCAATAATTTTTGACGGGTGATCAAACTTGTGTGTGGTCTCGTGTTGTCGTGATGGAACACAACTCCTTTACAATTAACAAGCTCTAGATGTTTCTGGATGATGGATTCGTTCAAACTGTTCAATTGCCGACAGTACACATTCGAACTGATTGTTTGGTCCCTTGGTAGGAGCTCGAAAAACACAACACCTTTAAAATCCCACCACACTGAGAGCATAACCTTCCTCTGATGAATGTCTGCTTTCGATGTCATTTGAGGTGAATCATCACATCGGGACCA